AACCATAAGATGCTTACTGAGTACAGGATCCACTACCATTATAGACCATTTTTTCATAAATTTATTTTTCCATAGGACAGCCTTTCTCAAGCAGGGAGCACAGGCACCCTGGGGTGCCTTGAGGTTTCTTCAGAGGTGACTTGGCAAAATGTCTAAAAATTTCCCAAAACTTGTATACAAGCCAGTGGGTGGAACAAGCTTGCATTTTAGTTACACAAAGCCACAGGTTTTCATTGTACGCCATTACAACCTTCTAGACGCCGGCATCCTGACAACCAATGACACCATCAGTTGATAAGAAGGATGCCAGTTGCCTGCACATAGTTTGACCCTCCCCTGTCCCTCTCCATCAACGCAGGGGTCAGGGTCACATTAGCTCAATGATAGAAAAAAACTGAGGAAAGAAGAGAAACACTGGAATACTACTCAGTACTAGTGTGAAAAGGTGTATTTGCTTTGGAAGAATAAATCACCTCTAACGTTGGGTGTCCTACATATGTGGATGTTGCTGTGTTATATAAAAAACTATTAGAATAGTTTTTCACATTTTAGAATGGGGTGCCTCAAGACTGTCCATAATTTTAAAGGGTTCCCTGGGACTGTCCAGAATTTTAAAGGGTGTCTTGATTGAAAAAAAGGTTGAGAAACAGTGCCATAGGATATATCTCAGCAAAAAGTTTTGAAAAACTGAGTATCTTTTCAGGAATTGGCCAATCCTCTTAAAAAGTACAGTTAACTTGAGTGTGAAAAGAAAGGTCTTTTTAGACTTTGTCAGCTGTTTAGTGCCCATAAACGCTTGTTTAGCCTGGGGAGTTTCTGGTGCTGCTAGACCAAAGCTAGCATGCATCGCATCAATAAGTCAGCTCACAGTAGAAAGACAATGGCATGAAGCTTTAACTTTTGTCTCATAAAATGCAGGGAGTCAAAATTTCACTGCATGGTTCCTCTTTGTGTACTGGAGAAGCAGAAGTAAGCTTTTGGTCCTAAAGTCTGAAGGCTCTAGAAGGGCTGAGAGTTTCCTAAAGGAAGCAGACATAGTTGCAGTGAAATCTGACTTAGTCAGATAGGCTTTTTGTTGTGCATGTGAGGAGCTAAAATTAGAGGAAGGGAGATGTGTCAATATAGAACCATGCTCTGGAAAGAGCTATCACCCTGGGCATTTTGCTGTTTTTCCTCAGTGCTGTCTGTAGCACCAGTCACGGTGGGCAAATGCCAAAAGGATCTTTAGGATTAAGGTACCAAAAGAAAGGACCATGGCCCTGGACCTGTGCAGCTAACTACACTCACTGCACCATGTGCCAAGGTGTCGCCAACAGCAGGATTCAGTGTCCAAAGCAAACATTACAGGCTAGCCTTACTACTGCAGGGTATAGTTCGCAAGATGTACATCGAGGGCCACCCAGCTGGAAACTGCATTGTTGGGTTGAATTTTGATAATAGTGTTAGTTGAAGTAGCAAAAAAAAAGACTGGTTAAGAAAACTACTCCATGGGAGGGTGCACTGGGGGCATTACCAAAAATTTTCCCCAACGTTTTTTTGCCAGTGTCTAATCACCTGAATATAGCGGGATATAACCTATAGTTTATGTCTGCATATTGGAGGTGGACATGGGAGGACCCAAAATGGCTTCATGGGTGATCAGATGTAAATGGACTTGCATCTGTTTACATTAGGCTACCTCCGATGGGTCACATTTAGGAGCAGAAAAATGGAAAAAAAAGTCAGTCATAATCTGGAAAGCCTGTGTAAGGGGCTTAAGAATTCTAGAGAGTCACATGCTAATGACACAGGTAACTGAATAATTTTCCTCAAAAATAACTTAAAAAGTATAGTATTTTTGGTTCTTTTGTTTTGTTGGATTCTCATTTTAGGACTTGTGTGGAAAACAAATCACATTTTAGGTCATATTTGACTGCTATAAGTCCCAGCATGCTGTTTCTTCTGCTGAGGTTGAAAAAAGATACATGCAGTGGGTATAGAAAAGAATCACCCCCTTTAAAATAATCACATTGTGTTGCTTTGCAGCCTGAAATGAAGACAGACACCGTTTTTGTTTTATCCAGCTGTCATTTACTCAGTGCAACTTACAGGGCTGCTGTTAGAAACCACAGGACCCCATACAGCCAACCTGACAGGCTCCCCCCCAAAAAAGAACAAAACACAGTTTACTATGCTTCAGCTAAGAGTGAACTCAGTGAGTGAACATTATCAATCACTCATTGTGTTCATTCAAGAAAGGAAGAGGTTGGTAAATGTGCCATATTTACCGGACCCTTCCTCCACTCTCCATCCTGAAGTATTCTGTTGTGTGCTTGCAAGTGCCAGTGGAAAGGAAAGGAGGGAAGCCGGCTGCATTGTGGGGGTGGGAGAACATAGGGGGGCCTTGGCAGCAGGGAGGGTGATGGGTGCAGAGGGGGGGGGCAATTACTTGAACCAATCCCCTTTATGGCTCTCTTTTGCAGTCGCTGAAGCCAGTGGGAGGGAGGGGAGAAGTCATCTTTCATCTACTGCAGAGAACGCCATACAGGGGATCGGTTCTAGTAATTGTCCCCCGCCATAACGATCACCCTCCCTGCCAACATCTGATTCATCCATTTGCCTGGGCCCCCCTGCTGGCCTGGGCCCCGCACAGGATGACTGGTGGTACCCGCTTAGCCACAGCCCTGGCAACTTAAAGATATAACACCAACTTGTGTCAGTATTTTGTTGAACCACCTTTTGCTTTAATTACAGCCTTTAGTCTGTTGGGATATGTCTCTACTACCTTTGCACATCTAGATTCTGCAATATTTGTCCACTCTTCTTTGCAGAACTGCTCAAGTTCAGTTAAAAGTGAAGTACCTTAACCCCCCCCCCCAATTATACATCGGTCCAATACTGCACCTGTCCCCCACGGGCTCTAAGTGTGAGTTCTCACAGATAATCTAAGCAGAGAGAGGTGATTGTCAGTCACTGCTGTCTGTCCTCCCCCCCACGCTCACTGTTGCGCTGGGCTGTGGAGGGAGAAGCTGGCTCAGGCTCTCAGGAGCTCGCTTCTGGGACTTTAGCTCAAAACAAGTTGCAGGAGTGCAGAACAGACTGAACACCTGTAATCCACAGACGTACAGCCAAAAGAGCTTTGGCTGTACTTCTCCTTTAAATTTGATGGTGACCGTTTGTGGACAGCAGTCTTCAAGCCATCCTGACAAGTGTTTCAAGTCCCTGCTGCAGAGAAACACCAACATAACAGGATATTACCATGCTTTACTGTAGGTATGGTGGTATTTTGAGGGTTAGCAGTATTGGATTTCCGCCAGACATATCATTTAGTGTTGAGGCCAAATAATTAAATTTTAGTCTCATCTAACCTAAACACCTTTTTTCCATGTGGCCTCAGATCTTCAAGGCGCGTTTTGGCAAAGCTTAGTTGTGACTGTATGTGGCCTTTCTTGAGGAGTGGCTTTTTTTCTTGCAACCCTCCCATACAAGCCACATTTGTGGAGAATTAGTGATATTGTTGTCACATGCACAAAATGACTGCTCTTTGTCATAAATTCCTGCAACTGCTTCAGGGTTGCTGTAGGCCTCTTGGTAGCCTCTCTGACCAGTTTCCTCCTGGCTCGCTCATCCGGATTGCAGTGACGTCGGGATCCAGGGAGGGTCTGTGTTGTACCAAATACCTTTCACTTCTTAATAATAAACTTCACTGTGCTTGTAGTCATTGATAAAGCCTTTGACATATTTTTTTTTTATCCATCACCTGACTTGTGCCAGTCCACAACTTTATCCTGAAGATCGTTTGACAGTGCTTTGCCACCAGTAGCTGTTTGCTTCAGTTGCACTGGGGGGGGGGGGGGGGGATTCTTTTTCCAACTCAGTGATTATCTTACTAATTTTCTTCAGACATGTTGGTGTTATAGCTTTCAGCTGTATGTTATAAGCTGCTCCAAGTAAATACAGCTGGATAAAACAAAACATGTGTGTCTTCATTTCAGGCTGCAAAGCAACAAAATGTGATTATTTTAAAGGGGGTGATTCTTTTCTATACCCATCATATGTTAAAAAAATACAGTCAACCACAAGACAATGAATTAAAATGCTGTATCCCTAGAACCTTAAACCTGCTGTTGATCATGAGGAAAATTCCTATGTGGCACACAACGCACTGGGTATGGGCAATGTTGGGAGGGGCAAAGCTCATACTGATTTTCAAAATGTAGCCATTTCTCTTCTGAGTTTCTTCAAAACAGCAGAGCCATTGACTTGCCAAGTAAACAAAAGGGTGCTGTGAAGGACTGGCTCATTATTAAAAATGTTTCACAGCAGAAGAAAATTGATTTTGCTCAACAAAAGATCTTAAATCTTTTGGCTCCTAGCACTAGCTTAGATCGACAAAATAAATAAATCACTACACACAAAAATTGCTAAAAAATAAATTGACAGAATAATAAGATGTAGCTCTATACAAATATGCATTTTTATGCATAGTAGGTAAATAATAAATGTGAACAATTTAAAAATACAACCAATGATCAGCCTGCTAATCAAATACTTTTTTTTTTATAAATATGTAGTGTAACTATTAGTGTCATTATTCAATTGTACATGAATTTAAAAGGTCAAGACATTGGTTTTATTAAAATATTTTTGTGCCTTGGGAAACATTATTTTCTCAGTAACAATCCATTAGAGACAGAGATGGGCAAATTATTAGTATATTTGTACAGTACACTAAATGTGTTTGTTTCTCTTCCCTTGACACATAACCTCCTCATCCCAAAATTTTAAGCTTCACTATTTCAAAATATAAATGATTTTGAAGGCTCTTTCAAACACACAACATGTTTTATACGTAAAAAATAAAAACATTAAAAATGCATCTGCATGAAATACAATTGCTAAATAAAAATGTTAATTAGTAATTTGCCCATCCCTTACCCACAACCATTCAATGTTATATTTCTTTTGTATTACAAAGTCAAAAAAAGAAAAAAAAAAGAAAAAGGAAAATGTTGCCATTGTCATGTGTCCATGATTTCTCTGGATGGAGACTGCTCAGGATTAATTCCTTGTGTATTGTGAATTGTCTGATTGTGTGATATTGAATTTTGCAGTTCTAAAGCGATTGTGTTTTGTGGGAATTCCTTAACTTGTTTTTTATATTCCAAAAAAGTGCACGCCTTTGTGGCTATTGCAATGATATTCTTGCCAATAAATATTGTTGAAACTCTGCTATCCTGAAATAAAACCATGTTCACAACTCTAATAAAAATTGTAACAATATTAATGGTGACAAGACTTAGAACTGGGTATAGCATCATCTTCTGTGGAGCAATATGCTCTCCTTGCATGCTAATTTCACTCAAAGAAACACATGGTAGGATCAACAATAAGATGTAGCAATAAAAAAACATAAGTCCTTCAGCCCATATAGGGAGACCGGTCTTTTGCGGCTCCCATAAATTAGCTTGAATATCCAAAATATCAAGTAAATCAAGAGCAACCCAAAAGAGACGTCCTCTTAGATCTTCTTTTTTCCTGAATGTTCTAACATACTCCATGCTATCCAGTGATACAAGTACCAGATATAGTCCTGGCACAGAGATGGATAAAAGCAATGTCAGTGCCTTTCTAGCCACAGTGTCAACATTTTTCTTATCAGCCTTGTAGTTTTGAAATATAAAATACAACTTAATTTCCAGAACAAATATGTATAGAAACCATAAAATCATCGCATATCCTCTCTTGGCTGTCTTAACTTCTGCTCCAACCCACACAGCCACATAACGGAGAACAATTAAAAAGCAGATGTCTCCAACTAACACAATGATGCATACTCCAATCTTTCTTGGACCCTGATTTTGCTCCACAAGATAGGCATCCATGAAGGCCATGCTTGTCATTATCACAATGGTTGTAAGACACACGTGACGTTTGTCTGGAGGTGGAAGAACCATTTTTTTCCACTTTATTGCAGGTTTTCATGAAGTGTTTAAAAACTATCATGTATTAGGACTGATTGTCAATTCTCGTATGGCTATAGATAGTGGGTGATTTTGATGACAAATGTTCATTCATTGTAAAAAGCTCTCTTCCAGCAATACCGTGTCATATATGATATATGTTTAATTACAGAGATTTCTTTGTTATTCTTATGTTGTCTTTTTCATATTTAGATGTTTAAGATTTGGATTTTCTTAAATATTTTTCTCAAGTGGAGTAGAAGATTGAAGAATTAATTTGACAAGCTGTAGATTTTATTTCATAATAATATATTGCTAAAATCTTAAAGTTCAAATGTAAGATCTGATTTCACTGGTACAAAAATTCACCATCAACAGATCCATGTTTCTTGGGCCATGGTACTCCACATATTCAAACAGGCCTGCTATCCATTTAACCAGATTCTTCTTTTTGTATAAGTTGTCCACACTGGAAAAAAAAAAAAAACAATAAAAATTATACATAAATGGCATTTCAAATACACACACACAGTATATCAAAAAATGTCCATTAATCAGTGCTTTAAATATGTTGATAAGAATAAAAGCTTCTTCCTGAGTATCACCTTGCATGCATACAGCCTATGTGCAAATGGGCACTCACCTCCTTAAATAACCTCACTGTACAAATTAGATCTCACAAGTGCTTAAAAGATATCTCCTGCTGGGGTTCAAACCCTCAATATACGCAGTCATCATTTGGGGATAAGGATCACATCTTGGAGCATGGTTTTGGCACTTGTTGTGCTTTCACTGAATGTGAGTGTTTTCATGTTATCTGTTCACTTGAGTATGATTGAGTATATAAAGAGAGCACTGTTTGTTTCACATTTTATGCTTGCATATGCTACCAACCTGTCAGGGCTCCAGGGTATGACCAGAGGTATGTGAACTGACGCAGGGAAATGCAGGCTTCAGATATGTTATAAACAATAAGACAATTTATTAAAGACTAACAATACAAACATAAACACAGTGCAATACTAAAACATAACACAGTGCAAACGAACCAAACCACCCACAGATAACAATGCATACAATGCAAGCGTCGTCAGGCAGGCCGGGTCAATAACAATCGGGCAGGTAGGAACAGGAGGAGCAGGCAGAGAGTAGTCAGGTCACGAGCCGTGTACAGCAACTAACGGGCAGGTAGGTACAGGGGGTCAGGCAGAGAATGGTCGGGGTCACAAGCCAGGGATCAAACAGGAGAAGTCAGCAGAGGTCCGGATCAGGCAGGGTCAGCAACGAATCAGTCAGACAGGGACAGGGATGCAGGTAACAAGATACAGGGGCCCAGGAAAAACACACACCAAGGCCCAGACTGCAGGTCTGGCCATCCCTTAAATACACCTGCATAATCAGCTTCAGGTGTTTGGCTGGCTGCAGGGTTGAGTCTCTGATTGCTGGGAGCACCCGCTGGCCAGCCCTGGTACTGCAGCCCACAAGGCAGGTGAGTCCCACCATTACTGGCAAGTCCATTCCTGACACAACCGTTATGAGGAGAGAGCTTTGTAATATCTGCCAATAGCCGTCCATATGGTATGGGTCATCAAGTGTTTTAGCCCCAGCAGGAGACATCTATAAGCACTTGTTTGAACTCATTTGTACAGAGAGGTCATCTAAGAAGTTGAGTGTCCATTTGCACATAGGCTGTATACATGCAAGGTGTTACTCAGAAAAAAAGATTTGATTCTTATCAACATACTAATTTAAAGCACTGATTATTGGACATACTGATAGACATTTTTTAATTATTTGTTGTGCTGCACCATTTTGTTTTGTTTATTTATGTCTGTACATATATTTTCAAACATAAAATGTATTCATTTAAAGTGTTTATAAAGGCCTTTTGTGTATTTAAATAAAACAGAGGTTACAGTCTCTCATCTCCTCTTCTGGTGTACCCTGCCAATGCTCTCCACGTCTTTCTCTGTGTGCCCTCTCAACAAGCCAGTTGCTGAGGAGGCACCTGTGTGGAGGTGCCTGACTCCCGAGCAGGCCTGTGTGTGCCTCTACAGCATGGCTCGGCCAAACTCCCTGCTCCCACCGCATAGGAATTGCTAAACAGTGGCAGGAGCCTATGGCTCAGTGTATCCTGTGAAAAGAGGAAGAGAGAGCATCAGTTCTTCAGATCTGATAGCACTGGATCAGTGAGCGGAGTCATGATAAAAGAAAATGGTAATATTGATTGAGAGAGTTTATTTCGCTTTAATTTCTGCTATGGACATGTGCTTTCTCCTGGTGATGCTATTTTGCAAAAGTTATAATTTTTTTTTATACAATCCCTGGAGAAAAATGTAATAAAACAAAAACAAAACCTCACTTTTTTCCCCACTTAGATTAATGTTGAAAGAATTTGTGCTACTGTAGATAAACCACGCGTTAGATCAACAATCAGTATTCGGTTAATTGTAAAGTCGAAACTGGACTTGTATTGATTGAACAGGCTAATTTGTAAGCAAAATTTTAATTGTGATCTAATTACAGTTGATTTAAAACAGGATAAAACAAATGGAAATCTCATCAAAAATACAGTTAGGTCCATATATACAGTATTTGGCCACAGGCACAATTTTCATACTTTTGGCTCTGTATGCCACCAGAATAAATTAAAATGAAACAATCCAACTGAATTTGAAGTGCAGACTTTCAGCTTTAATTCAAGGGGTTGAACGTAATATCAAGTACAAATTTTATGAACTTCAACCATTTTTATACAGGGTCCCTTTCCATTTCCAGGGGCTCAAATGTAATTGGACAAATTTATATAATCATAAATAAAATGTTCATTTTTTATATTTTGTTGAGAATCCTTTACTGGTAATGACTGCCTGAAGTCTGGAAGCCATGGACATTACCAAAGACTGGGTTTCCTCCTCTCTGATTCTTTGCCAGGCTCTAACTGCAGCTGGCTTCAGTTGTTCTTTGTTTGTGGGTCTTTCTGCCTTTAGTTTTGCCTTCAGCAAGTGAAATGCATGCTCAGTTGGGTTGAGATTAGGTGATTGACTTGGCTATTGCAGAATATTCCACTTCTTTTCCTTCAAAAGCTCCTGGGTTGCTTTTGCAGTGTGTTTTGGATCATTGTCTATCTGTACTGTGAAGCGCGATCCAATCAACTTTGCTGCATTTGGCTGAATCTGGGCTGACAGTATATCTTTAAACACTGCAGAATTCATCCGGCTGCTTCTGTCTTCTGTCACATCATCAATAAACACCAATGACCCAGTGCCACTGGAAGTCATGCATGCCCATGCCATCACACTGCCTCCACCATGTTTTACAGATGACGATGTGTGCTTTGGACCATGAGCTGTTCCAAGCCTTCTCCACACTTTTCTTCGCCTCATTCTGGTACAGATTAATCTTAGTTTCATCTGTCTGAAGAATGCTTTTCAAGAACTGGTCTGGCTTTTTTAGATGTTTTTTGTCAAAGTCTAATCTGGCTTTTCTATTCTTCAGGCTTATGAATGGTTTGCACCTTGTGGTGAACCCTCTATATTTGCTCTCGTAAAACCTTCTCTTGCTTGTAGACTTTGACAATGATACGCTCACCTCCTGGAGAGTGTCCTTCACTCGCTTTTTACCCGCTTAATTGATGAAGAAATAATGAAGGAGTAGCCCACGCCTGACCATGAAACAGCTTTTAATTCAATTGTCCAATTACTTTTGGTCCCTTGAAAAAGGGGGGATGGCTACTCTTAAGAACTGTAATTCCTAAACTGATAATCCAATATGGATGTACATACCCTCAAATTAAACCCGAGAGTGTGCACTTTCAGCTCATATCCATTATATAACTATAGCTTGAATATGTTTTGGTAAATACCTGAAAAAAAAAATTGTGCCTTTGTCCAAATATATTATTATTATACGGGATTTATATAGCGCCAACAGTTTGCTCAGCACTTTACAATATAACGGGAGACAATACAGCAACAATACAGTTCATGCTGCCAAAGAAGCCTACTTTGTCACTCTCATCAACAGCTTATCATCCACTCCTCGTCATCTCTTCTCCACTTTTAACTCTCTACTTTCTCCACCTCCACCCAGTACCTCACTCACTGCTTACGAGATTGCAAATCATTTCAAAAATAAGATTGATGCAATTCGTAGGTGCATCTCCACTGCACAGATATCCATCCCACTTAGCATACCTTATACTAAACCTCCCTCAACACTTTCCTCTTTTGATCTTGCTACTACTGAAGAGGTCACTAAGGTTTTCTCAGAAGCCTGTCTCACCACCTGCCCCCTGGATCCTGTCCCCTCTTCTTCCATCCTATGCTCCCTCACTCACATCTTTAATCTCTCCCTCTCTAACAGTGCCTTCCCCTCCCCTCTAAAGCATGCACACATCACTCCCATACTTAAAAAGCCCTCCCTGGACCCCACCAACCTGAACAACTTAGGAGCCATCTCCCTGCTCCCGTTTACCTCTAAACTCTTAGAATGCTTAGTCTACAATCGCCTGAGCTCCTACCTCACTGACAACAACCTTCTTGACCCTTTACAGTGTGGCTTTTGCTCACAACACTCCTTCTCGCATTACTAACCTACTAAGCGACATATCGGCATGGATGTCACTCCACTTCCTCAAACTCAATCTTTCAAAAACTGAGTTCCTAGTATTCCCTCCAGCCCGTGCCCCCTCTCCTGACTTCTCCATCAAGATCAATAACACAACCATCAGTTCCTCCCCCTCATGCCAGGGTGCTAGGTGTAATTCTAGACTCCCATCTGTCCTTTCAGCCCCAAATCCAATCGCTCTCCAAATCTTGTAGACTTCACCTCCGCAACATCTCCAAGATACGCCCGTTCTTAACCTCAGAAACCACTAAACAACTTATTCACTCCCTTGTTATCTCTCGCCTTGACTATTGTAACTCCCTCCTCATTGGCCTACCTCATCGCAGGCTATCCCCTCTTCAGTCTATCATGAATGCTGCTTCCAG